TTCGGCGCATCGGGTAAAATTGTGGTAAAATATAATCCCACAATTCACAATTTTAGCATGTTAAAACTCCCAATATTACAAATTTGCGAATCGGAAAAAAAAAAGAATTTGTGAAGATGACTCCGCAATTTTGTCAAAAATTTTCAATTTTTTAACTCCCGACACCCATATAATAATTTTGAAACTGCTAAATTTTTGTTCCCAATGAATGGACCCTTATTAGCGAGCATTTTGAGACAGCGAACGGTGACGCCTGAAAGTAAAGTTGTGGAATGTGTTTTTTTTATTTTCAAAAAACTAAGGCACAATGAGCCCAAAATTTGTCAAAACGCAATTTTTGGCAAAAAAATCATAAAAACCATTCACACTTCAAATTTCAAAAAATTGCATACGTAATAACCCCTTAAGTTCGTAAAAAAAAAAATTTTCCCCTTTTGGGTCGAAACAAGGGCTAAATTATAAAATTTTTTAAAAAGGGATCCCTGAAAAAATCAAATAAAACAAAAAAAGGCTCTTTAGATTGTTTTGATTTTTCTTTTTTAAAATAAAGTTGAATCATTAAAATCAAATATAAATCTTTTTTAAAAACCAGCACTTTTACATTGTACAAAAATTTATTTTTAAAAAAAAGAATTGGAAGAAGACGAGAAAAGAAAAGCCAGGGAAAGGAAATGAGGATTTAAAAATAAATTTAACTTACTGAGGGTTTTGTTTTAATTGGTTACAGAATATAATAAAACTTTATTAAAAAGAATTTTATCAATTCTTTAAATTTAGCACAATATAACTAAACTTATATAATTTTAGCATAAGAAGATTTGATGTTAAAAAGTAATAAAATCAAAACACATTGTTTTGTTTCATAAAATAACACCATCTTCACATTTTTGCAGTAACCAAAAGCCTACAACATTCTACTGTAATTTTAAATTTTTCCCTCAAAAATTTTTGTTTCTTGCTATTCCGCAAGGGCGTAGTTGTGTGGGTGTGTAACGCTAGGTTGTTTTTTTTTTTTATAGAGTTATAATTCTTCTCTGTAAGAAGTAGATATTTCTTGGAGCCCACTAAGGGGGCAACAAACAGGACAACCACTGCAAAGAGAAGGGGAAAATTGAAACAAACCCTATACCCAAACCCTCTGGCCCGGTGGGATAGGGGCCAAAAACCTCCTTTCTAAGGAGAGGCCTATGTCCAGCAGTGGACTAGTATAGGCTGTTGATGATGATTGATGATACTCGTATGTATAGCTCCAGGATTCATTACCGTGAGCCATTTGAGCCGGTGATAAGTGAGTGAAGTGACCGAAAACTCAAATCCCATCCTTTTGTGCAGAAATTCCCTCGGATACCACCCAGCGGTGGCTATGTCGGACTTGATTCGACAAAAAACGGACGCCGTCTCGGGTACCAGTAGCCGGGGAACCGGGTGTGTACCCTAGAAAGGAAATCACTGGTACCCCGACGCACCTCGTATCGTCTACTACTACTGGATTTACTCATCAAATAGACACACACTTTTAGAAATATCTGTTTACTGTTACCCTACTCTTTTTCCACCTCACCAGAACCAAGGGAGAGTGGTGCATCAGAGTCAAATCGACTAAAACCACACGGTACTCTGTCACAAGTGAGTTTATTGCAAGGGACCCTTGATATCCTAACAAGGGGGCACCGAGAACCCTTGCAGATTTATACCGCCTGATGAACAGGTCCCTTGTCCCACATTGTGGAGTACGGGGAGCTTAACTTCCCTCCAGTTAAAACAGCCCTGCGTGAAGTACACGCCTGTTTCTGCAAGAGTAACGGCATCCCCAGGCTCGCGATCATGGAGATCGGAGATCGTTTTGTGCTCTCCGGCCGCCTGGTGCGTTTACTGCGGGACATGACAATGCTAATCCTCTTCCGTTCCCGTTCCATTACCTCTTTGGCCATAACAAAAAATGAGACAGCGGTATCCTACGAACTCTAACTGATGTACATCTTCCAATTTTCCAACCTAAACAGAGAACACGGAAGGAAGACAACACAGAATGACACTGTACGGTGCACCAGTGTGGGCGGTGGCTCTGACCGCTCAGAATCATCATCATCATCATCATCAACAGCCTTTAATAGTCCACTGCTGGACATAGGCATCTCTTTAGAAAGGAGGTTTTGGCCTACTACACCACGCTGGCCAAACGGGTTGGTATAGGGTTTGTATCAAGTTTTCCTTCTTTTTGCAGTGCTGGTGTCCTGCGTTGTTTTGCGCCCTTAGTCGCCTCTTACGACACCCACGGGATGAATTGGGGTAGTGACATTCCGTATTCTTAATCCGCTCAGAATAGGAATAAAAAAAAAAGAAAACAGAGAACAGAGGGCCAAGTATGAGTTTATTTTACATCTACTCGATCGTCATGGTTACCCCGTTTGGCAGTGCGATTGGGCCACCAATCGCAACCAATCGCAACGATAAACGCACTCGCCGTGGAGAGCGAGTCGCTGTGAAATCAACTTCCACCCAGCCCTCATAACGATAACGTGACGAAATCATCTTGTTCGAATTGTTGAACTCCAAAAGCAACAGTGTGAAATGTATTGATTGACCTTTATAGATGACTAGCTGAGCCGGCGCAACTTCGTCTGCGTCTCTCAATAGTAATAAATTTTCTCCGTTTTTGAAACATTCTTCATTGGTGCTTCGCACCTATTGGTCTTAGCGTGGTGATATAGCCTATAGCCTTCCTCGATAATATAGAACCGACAATAGAGAACACACAATAGAGAACCGACTACCGTGTATCTAACACTCAAAGAATTTTTCAACTCGGACCAGTAGTTCCTGAGATTAGCGCGTTCAAACAAACAAACAAATAAACAAACAAACTCTTCAGCTTTTATAATATTAGTATAGATTATAATTTAACTACATATTTAATACATAATGTGAGGGCCGTTCAAAGGTAATTAGAAGTTAAACGAAATTCACAGTTTTGCACACACTGATTTAACTTAAATAGGTAGGTACTCGAATCTTTAGTTATTACACAGTGAATGAATCGACTAAATATACCTACATGTATTAAGGCGTATTAGTGCACTTATTTACTTTGATTAGTGTTTAGAAAAATATGGATGATATCATCCTTAAAGTTTTATATATTACTAGCTGGTACCTGCTACTTTGCTTGCGTGGGATTTGAAAGCCTTAGTGGGGTCGATGCCGGGACCTGGCAAAATTTGAAAGGGTTTTTCTGAGAGAAAAATAGCCTAAGTTATTCCTTGTGTAGACAGCTACCTGGTAATAAAATATTATCGAAATCGATGCAGCCGTTTAGAAGATTACCCGGTACAAACAGACAGACAAAAAAAAATCCACTGGTTTTTAGCCATCTATACATCTATCTATACAAATAAATAAAATTGGAGTGTCTGTTTGTAATATTAAAATAACCGCTTTTTACTAAATGCATATGTATGTTTACACGGTACATATGCCAAAATAACATTTTTTACAATTTTTTGTCTGTCTGTCTGTCTGTTTGTTCCGGGTAATCTCTGGAACGGCTTTACCGATTTCGACGGAAGTTTCACTGGCAGATAGCTGATGACATAAGGAGTAAGTTAGGCTACTTTTTTTAGACTAGCTTCGCCCCGCGGCGTTGCTCGCGGTTATAACAACAAACGCGGGTAACACCGCGGGTCTCAGCTAGTAGAAAAATAACCGTGTGAGCATGAAAAAACCTATAATTTTGATATTACAAACAGACACTTCAATTTTATTTATTTGTTTAGATTTGTTTATGTATGTAACTTAGCAAGTATATGTATGTGTGTTTCAGTGTGCATGTATGTATATTTGTCACACTCTTTCTATCCATCTCCTCAATTATTATAACTCTTTTCAAAAAAGACTGAATTTGTAGTGTACCTAGTCAGACATTTCCTCACCATCCAAAGATAGACTAAGAATAAATGCCGCCATTGTATAATTATTTTATTGTAATTTGTGAATAAAGAATTAAATAAATAAATAAATGTATAGATACTTGAAATCCATCATTATTTTGTGGCCTTTCGTCATCATCAACAGCCTTTACTAGTCCACTGCTGGACCTAGGCCTCTCCTTAGAAAGGAGGTTTTGGCCTACTACACCACGCTGGGCCAGACGGGTTGGTATAGGGTTTGTGTCAAGTTTTCCTTCTCTTTGCAGTGCTGTTGTTTTGTGTAGTTTTTTCCCTCAGTTGACTCTTACAACACCCATGGGATGAAGAGGGGTGATGACATTCTGTATTCTTAATCCATCACCAGACGGACTTGTGGCCTTTATTTATAGAAATTCCAAATACTGTACGTCAACATCAACAGCCTATGATAGTCCACTGCTGGACATAGGCCTCTCCTTAGAAAGGAGGTTTTGGCCTACTACACCACGCTGGCCAGACGGGTTGGTATAGGGTTTGTTTCAAGTTTTCCTTCTCTTTGCAGTGCTGTTGTTTTGCGTAGTTTTCTCCCTCAGTTGACTCTTACGACACCCATGAGATGAAGAGGGATGGTGACATTACGTATTCTTAATCTGTCAGCACACGGATAATGCTGTAGAGTTCTCCCAAAATCCGTGCTAAAATTTGTCTCTTGGCTTCTATTTACTTACTAGACTTTTACTTCTTTTTCTTCTTACTTACACGTATCAGCCTGTAGATTTACATGTTGTCTTCTAATCCTCTTAAAGGGGTTTGGGTGTATGTTTCGTACTTTATATGTAATACAGTTGCTTATTAGAACTGCGGAATAACAACAATTAACTTTTAAAAATTGTACCCGACTTGTAATAATCTGTATTCTCATTCGCTACTTTTCTACACTTGCGTTTGTATTTTCTTGTCTTCAAATTTAAATGGAACTAAACAGCAAGGATATCCTCCCAAATGTTCATAAAATAATCACGAAGTTCTGTGATAGCAAGCATAAAGAAAATTCCCTTCTTTTGTAAGTTCATCATAATCAGCCTATCGCAGTCCACTACTTTACATAGACCTCTCCTATTGCACGTCATTTCGATCGATTTTGGGCTTCCCGCATCCAGCTCCTGCCAGCCATCTTGCGCAAATCATCACTCCACCTGGACTGTGGGCGTCCTACTCTGCTTTTGCCTAGACGCGATCTCCACTCAAGGTCCCGTTAACCCCAACAAAGTCGGTTCTTCGTCGACTTTAAGTTCTTTAAAATGTAACTTTAAAGTCAGCGAAGCCGTTTACAAAATATACTTTTATTGATAAAAATAATTAACAATTAACCTATTTATTTCAAATATCAATATCTTTATCAGCTTTTATTTATCAGTTAAGTTCATGATCCGCAGTTATCTTATCTTGTAGGAGTTTATCTGTTCTCATTTTGCTATGTATGTTATGTTTAATTTCTGATAACTCTAGGTGACAGCGGCGGAGGTGCCAGTTGTAAAGCTCAATGATGGGACAGAAATGCCAGTATTGGCCTTGGGAACGTGGCTGGGGATGGGTGGCAAGGTATGTCTTGTTATTACCTAAATCTTTTAAGGGTCGATGAGAGTTTCAAATCTTTAAGAATAGAGTGTACTGTACCAGCTCTAAGAGCCGCACCGATCTTACGATACTTTAGTTGAGTTACATAATATATACCGATACACTATAGTATACATAGTGTATACTGTGTATATAGTATATACCTAACCTATTATACTATTATGTGGTAGCTACTCGTATATTAGTAGTGTATAAAAATAACAAATCATACCTCAAATCTATGTGTAATCTAATATATATATAAAAGAAGAAACTGACAGACTAATTCACTGACTGATGGATCAACGCACAGCTGACACCGCTGGGTCTAGACGAAAGAAATTTTGCACAAATGTTTCTTAGGTAACGTAGGTGTGCACTAAGAAAGGATTTTGAAAAAAAACCACCACTAAGGGTGCAAAATTCGGGTTAGAAATTTGTATGAAACTTCGTTATTTGCTGTAGTAGCGTTTTAATCTCACAGCAAATACTCTTTATTAAAAGGAAATGAAAAACGTTGTTGCAAATTTTTCAAAACTATCCTTTTTTTTTGTCCATGCGGAAATCCCCTTGGATACTACCTTTCGGTGGCATGTCGGACTCGAACCGACTAAAACCGCACGCCGTCTCGGGTACTAATAGCCGGGGAACCAGGTATACCCTAGAAAGGAAGTCCCTGGTGCAAGATAGGGTGGAAGTTTGTATGGTACGTATACTTGTAATCTTTATTTATTGCATCCTCTACGATGTCTGTCGACCAGCACGCGAACATAGTCGCGGGCATTCGTATTCGTGGATCTAGATACTAAAAATACTTATTCGTATTGCTAAAATGTATCCGAGGGCACGCACGGATACCTTTTAGCAATCTGGCACATCACTAATTAAAACCAGTATTTATCCTATTAATAATTCCGCTAATCCCTATGAAGCCCAAAGGTGCCGAAATAGAACAAGCCGTGCTGTGGGCCCTCGACGCTGGGTACACCCATATAGACACTGCGTTCGCCTACAAAATAGAAGACCAAGTCGGACGGGCGCTGGGGAAGAAGTTCGCTGAAGGTCTGAAGAGAGAAGACGTGTATATAACTACAAAGGTAAATATTGTCAGGCTGTTTACATGGTACTTCTACTAACTACAGCTTTCTGTCATTCACCAACCACATCATTTTGATAATTGCCAATCTATCTTTCACCGCTAAGGGAGGGGCGAATAAGGAACGTACGGTTGTATACTCGCCTTTTTAAAAATAAAAAAAATATATGTCATAAAAATGGTCTTTTTTGCTCTAAATCCTGTTTACCTTTTTATATGTTTTATGATTCCAGCTCTTCAACGATGCCCACGCTAGAGACGCTGTTGTCCCCACCCTCCGTAAATCGCTGAAGAACCTCAACCTGGATTATGTGGACATGTACCTGATACATTGGCCTGTAGGACAATTTGTAAGTACTAGTGCTACCTGGTTTTATCAATCAGGTGGAACAATAAGAAATATTATAGAGAAACATAAAAAGCCGTGTGGTGTCGTGGGACATCCCATAAGAACGAAGTTGTGACGATCGAGTAAAACTGATTCGACACGATTTTAATTACAACGCCATCTATGAAAGCGGCTATTACCTACATATTTTTCAGTTGGTTTCTAATTAAAACAATTTATACATTGGGAAAATCTCCTTGAGAAATGATTTCCTATCTATTCGATAGATGGCACTGAATGACTGACATAAAAAGTGTCGTTACAACTTTTCGTGAGATTTTTTTCCGTCTAGCACCCTTTCACAACGCGCGATAAGGAACTTCGTTCACAAACCTCATCATCAGCCTACTGCCGTCCACTGCTAAACGAAGGCAAGAAGCGCCAACCATTCCGGTATTGGACAATCTACATCCATCCACTGCCAGCCATTTTCCTCAAGTCGTCGGTCCATCGCGACGTAGAGCGCCCTACACGTTTGCTAAAAATACACATTATTACATTTATATTTGTACAGACTAATAGGTAAAAAACTGTGTTAAGCAATTCTTTTTGAAGGCTTATAGCATGGCTTATAACATAGCATAATCCGTGTGGTGACGGATTAAGAATACAGAGTGTCACCACCCCTATTCATCCCGTAAGTGACCGTGGGTGTCGTAAGAGGCGACTAAGGGAGAAAACTACGCAGTACAACAGCACTGCAGAGAGAAGGAAAACTTGACACAAACCCTATACCAACCCGTCTGGCCATCGTGGTATAGTAAGCCAAAACCTCCTTTCTAAGGAGAGGCCTACGTCCAGCAGTGGACTGTTATAGGCTGGTGATGATAGCATCCCCCCACTCTACTTCTATGAGATGGTGAAACGTCTGCTCAAATTACCCTATATAACAATTAAACCCTTTTTTTAAATCAATTTTGAACTACATAAAGGCAAAATAAATTCGGCTCCAATTATTTAAAAGGTTAAAAAATTATAGTATCATTTATTTTGCCAGGCGAATGGTTCATACGATCTTACAGACTACCTGGATACATGGCAAGGGATGATTGAAGCCAAGAGCTTGGGCCTTACCAAGTCCATCGGAGTGTCCAACTTTAACGAGGAACAGATCAACAGGCTGCTGGATCACGGTCTGGAGAAGCCGGCTGCGCTACAAGTTGAGGTGGTTTTAATTATAATAGTATTTATATTTATTAATTATTAAGAAGATCCTTTTATCAGACATCACGCATCACAGTGTGACAACTGACACTGTCATGGCCGAAAGCTTTATTGAACGAACCACGCCCCATCTGGTATTACACATGAGTACCTGTAGTTGAATATGTTACATTCAGAACCCTTAACTGGTCAAACGTTTTTAACCAGTATGAGCATAATGCTTTTGATACGTAGCGTAAATTCAAAAGAGCAACTGGCAAATGGTCAAAAGAGCTGAATGTCAGAAGCGCACAACGTCATAAAAACGCATAATATCAAACTCGAGCTAAGCGAGAGGTCGTTGGGTTCCCACCATAAATACTCGTGTGATAAGTATGATCTTTTGATCTGTGTCTGGGTGTTATTTATCTATAATATGTATGTATTTATAAATATATAAGTATGTTTAACAGATATATAAGTATGTTTAACATATATAAGTATGTTAAGCAGTCTGGTTACCATAGTACAGGATCTGCCTAGTTTGGGATCATACTGCTATGTGTGAGATGTGTGAAATTATTATTATAGACATATTTGACGGCTTTTTCGTGTCCCCAGTTGAACCTGAACCTCCAGCAGCCTGCTCTCCTCTCGTACTGCAAGAAGCAGGAGATCGCGGTGATGAGCTACACGCCCTTCGGCTCTTTGTTCTACAACAAAGCGAGTTCGGACGCCCCCCCACCCCGGATCGACGACCCTGCACTTGTATCAATAGCTAACAAGTACAATAAAACTGTAACACAAATAAATTTGAAATACCTTGTAAGTATTATCTATACGTATAAAATTTGTTCGTGTGGTGACGGATTAATAATACGGGGTGTCACCACCCCTATTCATCTCGTGGGTGTCGTAAGAGGCGACTAAGGGAGCAAACTACTCAGGACAACAGCACTGCAAGAAAAACTGAAGGAAAACTTGACACAACGAACGAAACTCAACCTTTTTAGGGTTCCGTACCTCAAAACGAAAAAACGGAACCCGAGGATCACTTTGTTGTCCGTCCGTCTATCTGTCTGTCAAAATCCCGTATCTCGGGAACGCGTGGAGGTATCGAGTTGAAATTAAAACGATATACTCGGGCCTACAGTCTGTTGACGCTATGAAAAAATCCACCCAGGACAAATATTGTGTGATGAGCACGATCATTTGTTCTGTGTCTGGGTGTAATTTATCTATAATATGTATGTATTTAAAAATATATAAGTATGTTTATCAGCAGTCTGGTTACTATAGCACAGGCTCTGCCTAGTTTGGGATCAGACGGCCGTGTGTGAGATGTGTGATGTTATTATTATTATTATTTATCTATTAATTTAATAAGTCGCAGTGGTTTTGTAAGTCATTCATGGTTGTGGTCATATGATTTATCACAGGTGATCCGACCGCTCGGAAGCCCTCTACCCCATAATTTTCTTTTTCCATTTCAGATTGATATCGGTGCAATACCCCTTCCGAAGTCCGTGACAAAGTCTCGCATTGAAGAAAACATAAATATATTTGACTTCGAGCTGTCTCCATCAGACCGGGAGATCCTGAAGGGATTCGACAAGAACTTCAGGACTATTAAGCAGACCAAGTGGTTGGATCACCCATATTACCCATTTGAGAAGAATTAAAAATGTAATAAATAGAGGAAGACATGCTTGAAGACTTTTATTTAAAAGTAAAACTTGCCTTTTCCTGAGGACCAATTTTAATTTGGCAAAACAAGTTAGGCATATTTTTGTGACATTACAAACAGACACTTTAATTTTAGTTATTGTATAGATAACACAGAGGCTACTATTTATACCAGCCAAATTTAGATATTGACAAAATTTTCATTTCCGCGAGCGAAGCCGTTAGCCGACGCTAGTACATATCATCATCCCCCCCCCCCCCCCCACTGGATCCTCACGCTGTCATCGTGGGGGATCTTACGCGGGTCAGTGATCTCTGAGGCTATCGTAGAGTCACTGATGCCGGATGGGCTCAGAGGGAGACTCCAGACTAAGAATGATACTAGGTCCCTTCTTGGGTCACCGATGGTTGCTCCACTGTCCAAAGAAGTGGAGGAACGACGACGGACTCGGTGAGCACTTACTCTGCCACCGAGCAGGGTATGAGAACTGGGTCTCCTTGCCGCCGTTTGTATATCGTAGTCTGGGTAGGAGTGATGTGGTTATGTGTCGCGACTCTAATCGGGGCGAGGGTCTTGGCTTAGCCGCCCGGACTGAGAGGAACTAAACCTCTTTAAAAAAAATACTCCGAATCCCGTGTTCTAGTGCGCTGCCAGGGGAGGCATGGCTGATGGGTAGTTCACTTATTTACTTTATTATTGGGTACTTACACCATTCCGTTGGACAGTAACTCCAGTGCGACGATAGACACACTGGAGCAGACGGACATGGAGCTCTGCGATAGCCGGATACGCGGGCGCTCCACCGACGAAGATGCTGACACGTCCCAGGAGATGCTGCCTCCCAAAGTGGCTAGTAGCCGCAGAGGGAGGTCGCGCATTCCGGTCTCGGCTCCGTCAGGCTCTGTCTTCTCTAAAGCTAGGAAGCTAAGGAAGTCTATAGACCATTTAGAACGGAGGACGAAAACGTAGTGGGGGAGCACCTCCCCCACTACGTTTTCAGTGATCTCCTGCTTAAAATTCAGGAGCTGACAGTATTGGGTTCTGTTCCGCAAACACCGGTGTCTATTCAGGAAAGGGCGAACGTGGCCCTTAGTACGCCCTTAGTAGCCCTGACAAATTGGCCACCTTTTTGATGATGGCTGTGGCCATCATCAAAAAGGTGGCCAATTTGTCAGGGCCCTTAAGGACTCCTCCCCCGCAATCTCTGGGGTAGTAGACAGCCTTGTTGCTGATGTGGCATGGTTGAGCTTAGCACACAGTTCGTCCAATTCGCCCCTTTGCTATACAACCGTTCATCCTTTATATTACCCCTTTGAGGTTGGTTGGTTTCCAAGGGCTCATAGCTAAGGGGTAACTGCTAAAAAGACCGAAAACATGCTATCTACTTCTATGTTAACTTTACTTGGGTTATAGAGCTCCAATGGTAGTTGCACTAAGAAAAATCAAAGTTAAACCGTATCGTTGTAAACTTAAAGCCGACCCCAACCAAGTTTAGATAAAAAAGGCTCGAAGGAAGTGGTTGAAATTTCCAAAAACCATATCCATGATTAAAGATCTCTTTGATGACGTCCATTCAGCTTTTCAACCTTAATACCTACACACGGAAAACAAAATACCTCTTTAGGTTTACATGTGTGTTATTTCGGTAAGTATATAATTATTGTGTGTGAATAGCAAACAACTCGTTTCTTCACTCAAACCACAGAACAGTGAATAAACATTTTTGCGTTATTAGTATAAAAATGTCTAGTAATGATTCATTAAAATCACAGTTTCGACCGTGTGGTCTGGTCAATTCTCGTTAAAAAATCAGTTCCGATTTAGTATCAATTTCACAAATAGTATAAAAGATATTCTCGTAGTAAAGTTAATGTGATTTTTACTGTATTGTGACCGCAATTTGAATAGGTATTCTGCTAGTCTTAGTAACAATCATCTCATTCTAATCCATTCTAATATCATACAAATGAAAGTGTGTCTGTATGTGTGTTATGTCTCCACGCTTAAACTGCTAAACTGACTTGGATTAAATTAGGGATAGAGATAGTTCGAGTGCCGAGAAGGGACATAGGATAGTTTTTATCCTAGAAATCGCCCTATAAGGGGCTGAAAAGAAGAGTGGAAATTTGTATGGGGGATCAGTGACCGCTAAACCGACTTTGATAAAAATAATTGTTGAGATAGTTTAGAATTGTGGGGATGGATATAGAATAGTTTTAAAATTAAAAGCGTAAAATTATTAGCGTAAAATTAAAAAAAAAACGAAAGTAACTGTCTGTTAAGCTTTCACGGCTAAACTGCTGAACCGACTTTAATTTAATTTGGCATGGAAATACTGGCTATTTTTTACCGCGATAACCGCCTTAAATGCGGGCGGTGCCGGGGGCAAAAACTAGTTACACATAACCTGGCTTTTTTTTTCTTTGTTGCTGAGAGCTTGTTCACCTCGAGAAACAAGTCAAAGCAGGACGCTCAGTGTGCGAGAGTTTATTGTGCATTTATCTCGTGAACCAGCTCTATACGACAAATAATAACTCCTGTTTATAAATACTAGTTTTATCAACAGTTTATATTCTGCAAGTGAGGATTAAAATGCGAATATATACAAGTATTGTTGTGTTTTTAATCTGTGGTTGGAACTTTGTAAGATTTTATTGCTTTAATTTTAATGTTGATCATTTGATTCTGTCCAAGTGATTTATAAGTCCGTGTGGTGACGGATGAAGAATACGGAGTGTTACCACCCCTATTCATCATATGGGTGTGGGTGTCCTAATAGCCGACTAAGGAAGCAAAATAATAAAAAAAAAGTATAGATAGATAGATAGATAAATACTTTATTTGTACACCAGGGTTTTACAGACATTATAAAGTAATTAACAAAAGATTTAATGTACAAAGGGCGGCCTTATCGCTTAGTGCAATTTCTTTCAGGCAACCTTTGGATGAATTCATTTTCAACTGGTGATAGGTATACAGAAATTAGAGAAATAAATGAGGTCTTAAAGTATCTAAGTATTCCATCAGTCAATTTAGCTTTTAAAGTACAAGCTCTGCTTAGTTTGCACTAGATGGCGTTGTGTGTCAGATCGTCGAAAATATTATAATTATTAATATATTTAACACTTAATGGGTAATTTAACCTATGCATATATACAAATATTGTCCGTGTGGTGACGGATTAAGAATACTAAATGTCACCACCTCTATTCATCTCGTGGGTGTCGTAAGAATTGTCGTTGAATTCCACGCGTAAGAAGTCGAAGTATGTTTATCAGCAGTCTGGTTACCATAGTACAGGTTCTGCCTAGTTTAGGATCAGACATTTTCTGTTCTGAGGATCAGACACCCGTGTATGTGATGTGTGAAGTTATTATTATTATTTACGGGGAAGTATTCAGGTGACTTATACCCTTTTTTACAGAACAGGGGGCAAACGAGCAGACGGTTCACCAGATGGAAAGCGACACTCAGGAGTCACAAGCGCGTTGCCAGCCTTTTAAGAAGGAGTACGCTCTTTTCTTGAAGGTATCGGTCCGGAAATACCGCAGACGATAACTTGTTCCACAAATTGGGAGTCCGAGGCAAAAAGTGTTTTGAAAAGCGCACCCTATAAAAAGGAGAACTCTCTGATATCTGATTTCCAGGTGTCAATGTCGTCAGTTCCTGTTGTGAGACTCAACGATGGCAGGAGAATGCCAGGATTGGCATTGGGCACATGGCTCGGGATTGATTCAGAGGTATCTAAGTTCTATTCTGTTTTAACCCCTCACATAAAGAAGAATACTATCTACTACTAACACCACAAAACTATTAGGTCCTTACATATGAAATTGGCATTTTGTACGGGTGTAATATAAAAAAAAAAACCGTGTGGTGTCGTGGGACACCCGATAGGAACGAAGTTGTAACGATCGAGTAAAACTGATTCGGCACATTTTAATTACAACGCCATCTATGAAAGCGGCTATTTCCTACATATTTTTCAGTTGGTTTCTAATTAAAACAATTTATACATTGGTAAAATCTCCTTGAGAAATGATTTCCTATCTATTCGATAGATGGCGCTGAATGACTGACATAAAAAGATAGAAATGAAAATATCTGGCTTGCTTTCTATAAGAGAGAGAGACAGACAGACAGACAAACATGCGACGCCGCACAGCTTACAATAGCTTACTATAGCAAAATGTGTCGTGACCAATTTTCGTAAGAATTTTTTCTGTCTAGCCCCCTTTCATAACGCGCGATAAGAAACTTCGTTCCAAAAAAAAAAGTAAAATTTATTTAATTAATCAAAGTATGCACCGTTGTTATCTATGCACTTTTGCCATCTCAGAGGTAGTTCATTGATCCATTTACTAAAAAAAACCATGGGGGCGAGAATCAATAAACTCTTTGAACTCAGTTCCTCTCCAATTTTATTTCTAACTAGCTGACCCTCGCAACTTCGTCTGCGTCTCTCAATAGTGATAATTTTTCTCTGTTTTTGAAACATTCTTCATTGGTGCTCCGCTCCTATTGGTCTTAGCGTGATTTTATATAGCCTATAGCCTTCCTCGATAAATGGGCTATCTAACACTGAAAGAATTTTTCAAATTGGACCAGTAGTTCCTGAGATTAGCGCGTTCAAACAAACAAACAAACTCTTCAGCTTTATAATATTAAGTATAGATTTATTTATCCAGAAGAACCAAAAAGGCAGCGAAGTAGAACACGCCGTGTTGTGGGCCCTCGCCGCTGGGTATACTCAAATAGACACAGCATTCATCTACGGAATAGAAGACCAAATAGGACGGGCGTTGGTAAAGAAGTTCGCAGAAGGAATGAAGAGAGAAGACGTGTATATTACTACCAAGGTCAGATGATAAGATATACGATGGTACAAAGATAAAGATATATTTATTTGCAGAACATTTACAAGACCAAGATGTGTGTGTCTAATTAATTATTGTTTAAAAACATAAAAAGTAAGTAAGTTTCTATCACTTCAAAAGGAAGGTTAACTATAATTTATTTTTGCTTTTTAGTCATTAAGAAATGATTATTTTATCAAATCATTGTATTGTGTTGGGGCCTTGATAAGTGTGCGAAGTTACAATTTAATTCGACGTTTTTAAGTGGGTTAAATACATCGAAGTTTCCGTTACATATGTGGAAGAGCGGCCAACACGCTCGGCTTTTATAGTGCCTTTGAATTTTACTAGAAAGTTCCTAGTATTCGAGAGTCCGTGCCAAACAAACACGAATATTCCAGAATCAGTCACGCGTGACTTGCGCCATCTAGCGCTGTTAGTATCAGAACTACTTGTATTAACCACAATCTTAATAGATGTACTTGAGTCGATACTAGATGGCGCTGTCCTCCACATTTCTTACAATCGAACCATTTAATCATATGACGCAACAATATCTTATTGATGTTTCCCGTCCTTCTATATGTTTCCAGCTGTTCAACGATGCCCACGCTAAAGATGCTGTCGTTCCCACCCTTCGCAAATCGCTCGAAAATCTCCAGCTGGAATACGTGGATTTATACCTCATACACTTTCCCACTGGGATATTTGTGAGTATCGCCCTTATAAATATATTCAATAATTACTTATAAATATATTAAATACATAATGAGTAACTTAGGATACTTTTTTAAGACTAGCTTCGCCCCGCGGCGGATGGCGTAGTGGTTTAAGCGGTCGCCACGCCGCTTCCTACTACGCCGAGTGTTGTGGGTTCAAACCCCACATGGGACGACACTTTGTGTGATCCACAAATTGTTGTTCCAAGTCTGGGTGTTATTTGTGTCCGTTTCATGTATGTTTGTAAAGTCCCCCGCGACACAGGATATTTTCCTAATGCGGGAGTTGTCTTTTTTAAAAAAAAAAATGTCCCTAAATGTCTGTGTTTAAAAATATATAAGTATGTTTGTGTAAAATTCATAGTCCAGAGTCGTCCATTGGAGTCTGGCTTAACTACGTAGTAAGAACTGATCCTGTATTGCGCCATGAAAGTTTTCCAGATAGAATTGATACAGATTATAACTGGCAGACTTATTGGTTTACTGGCCAGCTATCCTTAACTCTTAGAAGAAACATAAATTATTCTTAATAATTTATTATCTACCAGGAAAATGGCACATATGATTACACAGACTACGTGGAGACGTGGCGAGGGATGATCGAAGCCAAAAACTTGGGCCTCACCAAATCCATCGGAGTGTCCAACTTCAACGAGGAACAGATCAACAGGCTGCTGGAACATGGACTGGAGAAGCCGGCTGCACTACAAGTAGAGGTGGGTTTACATCATATACCAGCCCACTTCTGTCCTACCATATCAGTCCACTCTTTAGAAAGGAGGTCTTGGCCTACTATACCACGCTGGTCAGACATGTTGGTATAGGGGTTATTTCAAGTTTTTCTTCTTTTTGCAGTACTATTGTCCTGTATAGTTTGCTCTCTTTGTCGGCTCTTACGACACCCACGGGATGAATAGGGGTGGTGACAGTCCGTAATTATCCGTCACCACATGGAGAGTGGGTGGAGAAGTGTCAGCAACAGCTGGACGAGGTGATAGAAGTAGATAGTAGAACATCTATTAACGGGCATAATTAGACGTATTTACTTCGATAAAGGAGCAACTTACGCAGGACAACAGCACTGCAAAGAGAAGGAAAACTTGAAACAAACCCTATACCAACCCGTCTGGCTAACGTGTCCAAAAAATTCTCTGCATATGTCCAGCAGTGGACTATTAAACTCTGTTGATGATGATGATACTTCGACAACAATTTTCATAATACCCCCGTTTGTTAACAGGTGAATCTGAACCTCCAGCAGCCTGCTCTCCTCTCGTACTGCAAGGAACAGGACATCGCGGTGATGAGCTACACTCCCTTCGGCTCTTTGTTCTACAACAAAGCGAGTTCGAACGCACCCCCACCAAGGATCGATGACCCAGCCCTTGTCACAATAGCCAACAAATACAATAAGACTGTACCGCAAATAACTTTGAGATACTTGGTAAGTAGACCAGAGGGCCCAGTGTGAGTTTATTTAACATATACCAGATCGTCGCGATGACAGCGTTCGGTGTTTTGATTAGCCCGCATTGAAATCTCCACGAATCGCAACGCGGAACGCGCTCGCCGTCGAGTTATTGTGAAATAAACTCACACTAGGTCTTCAGAACTATGTAACTAAGTCCTAATTTTTTTTAATTAGATAACAGTTTGTGGATCATACAAAGTAGTGTCCCATGTGGGGATCAAACCTACAACACTCACCGCAGTACCGAGGGTAGTGGTTAAACCACTACTCCATCCCCACTTGAATTATTGGCACTCACATCACGATGCGCTTTTCAACAAATTTTTTGCTCTCACAACCAATCTGTGGAACAAATTGTCCCCTGCGGTATTTCTGAACAAATATGACCTTCAAACCTCGGGCAAATCCTTTGAGATTCTTGGTTGTAGGTGTCCGTGGGCGGTGGTAGCCACTTAGCTTCAGGTGACTCGTATATTCATTTGTTCCCCATGTCATACCACCACTCAAAGGATCACAACGCATTTGTCTCTTGAGAATTTGTACATGTACCACCACACTATAAAATTTCTTGTTAGGTATAAAGAAAGACTGATAAATAGTAATATATAGTATTGTGGCGACGTCCACAAACAGTGAAACACAGAAACATACTACAGCGCCATCTAACGAAGAAACACCGAACTACGGAGTAACTGCCAATCCTGTATCGCGATAAGAAGAATTTTCACGTCGATTAGCACATATAAAACTTCCCAACATCAACCGTTGGGCCGCAGCCCGCAAGGCATGATCTGCTCGCCTGGTCGCAGGATCCTCCCTTTGTGTTGGGGTGACATGAAAACGTTCCTCCACAGTATATATACTAATATTATGAAACTGAAGAGTTTGTTTGTTTGATTAATGTCAGGAATCACTAGCTCGAATTGAACAATCCTTTTAATATTGGATAGTCCGTTTATCGAGGAAGGCTATAAGCTATATAACATCACGCTACGACCAAAAGGAGCCAAGCATCGATGAAAAACGATGCAAAAACGAGAAAATTTATTCCTCTTTAGAAACCCAGACGAAGCAACAGCAGCTATTATATAGATCAAAGCTTCATTCTGCCCATTGTTGACCCTCACAATGTATATGTACCTGAAACTACACTTTGTGTTATTTACTCGTCTCTAATTTAGTGTGTTTAATTGTTTTTAAAGATTCGCTTTTCTTTACCGATCATCATTTGTCTACATTAGATTTATTAGTAAAACCTAAGATAGATTAATATATATATAACACACTATACTGTAACACACATACATCTATTAAACTGTAATCGATTTTTAAATGCAAAGAAATGATATTGATATCTCTTAAAAATCGGATATTGTAGCAATCGATTTATTTGACCTAATCCTTATTCTTCAATCTCTCAGAAATGTCAAACGGGACTTAGATTAGATGGACTATCATAGTACATCATCATCAACAGCCTTTAACAGTCCACTGCTGGACAAAGGCCTCTCCTTAGAAAGGAGGCTTTGGCCTACTATACATCGCTGGCCAGACGGGTTGGTATAGGGGGTTTTTGGGCAAATTTTTAAAGGAAATACAAAAAAAGAATTTTGATACGGGGGGGGGGACCCCCCTTATTTTATTTGGGAAAAAATTAAATTGGGGATCGTGGAATCCAAAAAAAAAATAATTTTTTTAATTCCCCTTTTTTAATTGGCCCCATTGCTTTTTTAGGTCGTCGTATCATTCCCGCGAAAAAATTTCTGTGTTCAAAAATATTTTTTTTTTGGGAGTAATTTTTCTATAAATGATGTAATTATAGTAAGATAATATACTTTTGTTTTTTTTTAAACATTTTAAAATTTATAAAAATTTTCCATTAAATGTTTAAGGTTGGGAACCGAGGGACCAAATTTTTTTTTTTTTCAAAAATTTTTTTTGGGGGGAACAGCCAAAGGGGGGGTTTTCCAAAAACGGGGGGGAAACCCCCCGAAAGGGGGCCCCCGGGGACCAAAAAACGGATTTTTTAAAAGGGGGAAAAAAAGGGGCCCCCCAAATCTCAGGTTGGGGGGGGGCCCCCCCAAAGACCCCACCCCAATCGCTCGGTTAAACCTACAAACCTCCCGGGCAAGGGGGGGTGCCGGACACCCAAACCCCCCATCCCCTGACCCAAAACAACCCCCAGAAAATTTTCCACCCCCCCAACCCTTTTAAAAAACCCTACCCCAAAAACCCCAACTGAAAATTTGGCTGCCCATTTAACCATTTTGGGGAAAAAACACCCCCCCCCTTTTAGGGGCCCCCCCCACCAAAAACCAAAAAACCCGGGGGGGGCCCAAAAACAACCCAAACCCCCCCCGGGGCCCCCAATGTTGACACCCCGGGCCAGGGCCCCAAAACCCACCCCCTTTTTTTTTTTCCCAAACCCTAACTACCCCAAAACCCCCCCAGCCCCCTATCAAAAACCAAAAACCCCTCCAAAAAAAAAAAAAAAAAGGGGGGAAAAAAAAAAAGGGGGGGACCCCCCCCCCAAAAAAAAAAAACCCAACTCCGCCAGACCTTTTCCCCCCCAAAACCCCAAAAACCCAACCCCCCTGGAAAACGGGGCCCCCAAAACAAAACCCCCCCAAAAAAAAGGGAAAAAAAACCCTAAAAAAAACCCCTTCCCCAATCCCCAAACACCCCCCCTTATAAAAGGGGGATTTAAAAAAAAACCCCAAAAACCCTTTTGGGGGGGGAAGGGTTTTCCTCCCCTTTGGGGGTTGGGGGGGGTTTCCAAAACCCCCGGGGGCCCCCCCATGGCCCTCTGGGGTGGCTTTCGTTGCCCTTCTTGTAGGGCCCCGGGTTGGGAAACCGGGGGGGGGCCCTTTTTTGGGGGGCGCCCCGGGCTACCACCCATTTAGGCCCCAAACGCACCACGGGCCCCCCCCCCTGAGGGCCACGGCCGGGGTTGCCCAAGTCGTTGAGCGTATCCGGCGGCTGGGTCTCGAGGTGTCTCTGCACAAGTCCGAGGCCCTGTTCTTTCACGGGCTTCGGAGGAAGCCGCCTGAGGGAATCTAGCCTCACGGTAGGAGGCACTCGCATCGGCATCGAGCCCTCGATCAGGTATTTGGGGCTCGTACTCGATGGCCGATGGGACTTCGGATATCATTTCCGAGGTCTGGTCCCCAAGTTGGTTGGGGCAGCGCGTGCGTTGGCGCGGCTGCTGCCCAACATGAAGGGACCCGATGACTCCTGCCGGAGATCTCTAACTCGGGGTTGTGCGGTCCATGGCCCTTTACGGTGTGCCCAGTATGGGGCGGGGGCCCTGAAGGCCAGCAACGTCGCGATACTGCGACGACCGCAGCGAATGCTGGCCATCAGAATCATAAGGGGGTACCGCACGATCCTCTTTTGAGGCGGCGAGTCTCCTGGCCGGAACTCCACCGTGGGACCTGGAGGCGAGAGCCCTTGCGGCTCTGTATCAGTGGCGCAAGGAGGCGCAGGAGTTGCGTCGATGCCCCGAGATTCGAGAAATCGATGACCGGAAATCCCAACTCCGCCAGGTCATCATAGGAGAGTGGAAGGGAACGACCTCGGGCAAACCGAGCGCCGGGCACGCCGTCATTGCGGCGGTAAGACCCGTTATGGAGGATTGGCTCGAGAGGCGTCACGGGACCCTCTCATACGGATTGACGCAGGTGATCACTGGGAAGGGATGTTTCGGAGATCACCTGTGTCTGATCCGCAAGGAGCCAACGCCTGAGTGCCACCACTGCGATTGGCCAGAACCGTGGACACGGCTCTCCACACGCTGGCAGAGTGCCCGGCGTGGGTTGAGCAGAGGCGAGACCTCGTGGCGGCCATCGGAGTGGGAGTTCTCTCACTCGATAGCCTGATTGCGGCTATCGTGCGGAGCGAGAGTGCGTGGAACTCTGCCGTCTCCTTCTGCGAGCAAGTTATGCTCGCGAAGGAGACGGCGGAGCGGGACCGGGAGAGGTTTAGAACTCTCCCGGCCCGCCAGGCCCGGGCACGGGCCAGGCAGCGCAGGCGACTCAGGCGCCGGAGGTCGCAGAACGACCTCCGTCCTCCATAAGCGCAGGCCTGGGGGTGACAGGTGAGGCCATCTGTCACCCTAGCAGAAGCAGGCCGGGGTGACGGCGAGCGCGTTGCGAAGCGCGCTCGCTTCCAGGGAGCACAGGGAACATGGGGTTCCCACACGGGGGGGGGGTCGTCTACTCGTCTGTAGATGACCCGAGGTATGTCGGGGCACCAGGGACTTCCTTTCTAGGGTATACCTGGTTCCCCGGCTATTAGTACCCGGCGAAGGCGTGCGGTTTTAGTCGGTTCGTGTCCGACATGCCACCGACAGGTGTTATCCGAGGGGATTTCCGCACGGAAAAAAAAAAAAAAGGTGTTTTCTATGTAGGTATAATATATATGTATTTACAAAAAAAAAATGGTATTCTATCATTCAATCTAGTTTCCATAGTAAAATCTCTGGTTAGTTTGAAACTAGATGGCGTTGTTTAGCAGATGTTCGAAAATGTTATTATTATTAACGTATTTTATTTATTTATTTACAACTTTATGCACTTGTGTACAACGGCGGAATTAATGCTCAAGGCATTCTCTACCAGCCAACCTTTGGATGGTGTAGAAATTTGGTGAGGTAGGTGCGCAGAGGGTACAGTGGTAATAATAGTTATAAAGTTAAAAGATATACAATTCCACACACATAAATTGTAACAGTTATTTATCCAATATATTTGTATTACGGAGTTGTCAACAGTGACACCTGTCGCCCCGTGTCGCACTTATTGATTTATCCGAAGTAGATTGTAACTATAGTATTGATGTCTCTTCGTCCGCCATCGGACCACTAGATGGCGTGTTTTTTTCGGTATGTCGCGTGTCGTAGTAATAATTTATCCTGTCAAATTGTATTGGTGTTAAATGTGTCCTGATATGGTATGAAGTGGTTACCTTTGAATTGAGTCAAGTTAACCTCAATGAT